CGCTGTATTAATATCATGTTCCTGCTGTTCTGACACTTACCGAGAGAGGGCGCTGTATTAATATCATGTTCCTGCTGTTCTAAAATTAATCGACAGGGGGAGCTATATTAACATCATGTTCCTGCTGTTCTGACACTTACCGAAAGAGGGCGCTGTATTAACATCATGTTCCTGCTGTTCTGACACTTACCGAGGGAGGGCGCTGTATGAATATCATGTTCCTGCTGTTCTGACACTTACCGAGAGAGGGCGCTATAGTAACATCATGTTCCTGCTCTTCTAATGCTGACGGAAAGAGGGGACGCAAACTCGCAGCTTGAACAGTGCAAGCACGAACATGACACAAGCTACGTGCAACAGCACGAGCTAAAAACTAAAAGCAGCTGAACAGTAGCAGAAGAAATAGAAGCCAAAGTAGTTGAACAGTAGATAAGAGGTAAAAGCAGCTGAATAGTAGATGCATGAGCATGCATCAGGACAGCTGAATAGTAGATAAAAACTAAAAGCAGCAAAGGAGTAAAAGCAGCAAAACAGTAGCTAAAATCAGCAGAAAATAGCTAAAAGTAGCTTAACTGTGGTTAATTTCAGGTGAACAACTGCTAAAAGCATCAGACATTTTGAAATTTTTACTCAAACAGAAGTTTGCTGTGTTTTGGTGATTTTACCACAAGATGTTCAGAGTGGAGTCACTCTGACCTTTGAGCTGGCTAAAAATATATATATTTTGCAAACAACATATACAAATCATACGTTCAAACTCGTGTCTTCTTTCACCCGGTGTGTCTCTTACTAAGTTAAGGACTGAAGGTTTTCTCTCAAACCCCCTCAGAGTGCAGCGAGCACACGACCAAACTCCTTTAGACTTCCAAATCTTATTTTCACAACTGAACATGAAGGGTCTTTTCAACTGGTTATGTCATCCACATAAAACACTGTAGATGATTAAAAATTCAGCTTCCTGCTGCTCATAGGTCAAGACTTTTTAAGATCGAACGTAAAATTTTTACTCAGCAACTCTTTATTTTTCTTTATATTTCTCTTATGTTTGCTGTCAGGGAGTGAAAAACAGGTGTGTGGTTACCATGGTGACCACAATGAGCCATTGGCTTTAACAATAATTTTTTTATCTTGGTTCTCTTTGTACTTTCTTACATGAAAATAAAAGGAAATTTATTTATTTATTTGCTTAGATTGGTGGGCCGTAGCTGCTTCGGAATCCTTCGAAAATTAATCTGAAATGTTCTACTGTTAGCTTTAGCGTGTGACGTAAGCACGTAAGGTATAACGGAACCTGAGCACCAATCAGATTCCAGACTCGGGCTCCGTTCGTCCAATCACAGCGCAGCTCGCTGTAGCTGTCTCAAGTAGGCAGGTTAGCAGCAGCAAGCTGGATGAAACGCTGAACGCTAGAGATATTTAAATACTTGTTCGTTTTCAGCGGTTATGAGTTTAAGTTTTATTTTGCTGAACGTGAAGTCCGTTTAAATCGTCATCTGTAAGGCCCATTCAAAGGTAAATGGGTTTACCGTCTCGTTTTGGCTGCAGCGGGAGGGGGCGCAAATATCACGAAATGTGGCGACGTCAGCTAATGAAACTTTGTGCTAAAGAACATAAATAATTTACTACATCCAAACCTACTGTGATCTACTGTGGCGTTGTACACACTAAGTAAATCACACCTGTCTAATTTCTTGTTGGATTTTGTCCGTAAAAATGTCTCAGCAGAGTAAAGCTAACCAGTTAGCATCACTGTCTGTCCCTCTGAAACAGTCTCCTGACATTTTAAATTTTTAATGTCGTAATGGGCTGAACTTCCTCCTTCAGATGCAGTTCATGCTGTTGTTCAGCCGCCAGGGGAAGCTGAGGTTACAGAAATGGTATGTCCCTCTGTCTGACAAGGAGAGGAAGAAGATCTCCAGGGACCTGGTCCAGACCATTCTGGCCCGGAAGCCCAAGATGTGCAGCTTCCTGGAATGGAGAGACCTGAAGATTGTGTACAAAAGGTGAGCGATGAAGAGAAATTTATAATCTGAACACACACTTTGTTATCTTACACAAATGACACTCAGCTGAGAAGTTTTAAAACTTGTTTTCAGTTAACTTGAAGCTCTTAAAACAGTTTCCTGGTTCTTAATATTTTTGTTACTCTTCATCTGTGATCGTTTAAGCACATATTTAGTGCAGCCTACCTTCTTCTTTCAGCTGTTCCCTCTTCAGGGGTCTCCACAGCGAGTCCTCCGCTGTCCTCACTCCAACTACCTCCATGTCCTCTCTAACTGCATCCATATACATGTATCTCCTCTTTGCCTGTTTCCTGGCAGCTGCATTTCTAACATCCTTCTACCAATATACCCACTGTCCCTCCTCTGGACATGTCCAAACCACTGTCCTTCCTCTGGACATGTCCAAACCATCTCAGTCTGGTCTCTCTAACTTTATCTCCCAGTTGTTCAACCTGTGCTGTACCTCTGATGATCTCATTCCTAATCTTATCCATCCTTGTCACTCCTAAGAAGAACCTCAACATCTTCATTTCTGCCACTTCCAGTTCTGTCTCCTGTCTTTTTGTCCATGTCTCTGTCTCCAGACCATACAACATAGCTGGTCTCACAACTGTCTTGTAAACTTTTCCTTTGACCTTTGCTGACACCCTTTTGTCACAAATCCCTCCTGAAACTTTTCTCCATCCACTCTGGACTCTTTTTCACCTTTTTACCACACTCCACTGTCCACACTTCTCCTGGACAGTGGACCCCAAGCACTTGATGTCCTGCACCTTTGTGACCTCTGCTCCTTGTAGCCTCACTGTTCCACCAGCCTCCCTCTCATTCACACACATGTACTCTGTCTTACTACGGCTGACTTTCATTCCTCTTCAGTGCAGCCTGTCTAAATATTTGTATTATTTAGTGACACAAAGTCGTGGGAAAATGTGTACATTTTTCATTAGTCTCACTGAACTCTGGGTATTTGCAGTCGAGTGACCAGAAATCTGTGTGGCTGTTTGTCAAGGCCTGTTTCTGAAAGATTTGAACCATCACTTGCATGGGTTTTAGACCTGAACATATTTCCTGTCAGAGGAGAGCTTCTGTGGGTTTGAGACGACCACAACAACCGACTGCTTTGAGAGAAAATTAGTTGCTCATATTTTCTTTGCACATGTTCAACGATCAAGCAACAAGAATGCAGAAGCTCTGAGGAGACTGAACTCCTCATAGTGTAAATACTACAACAAAACATTAAATGGGCTTTTTTTTTCCTGTCCAAATTCACCCTTCAGTCATAAAACTATAAACTATTTTTATTTGTTTTATTCTGCCCATCTCACTATTAATTTGTTGTTTCCACTCTGTGTGTGTTCAGATACGCCAGTCTGTACTTCTGCTGTGCAGTCGAGGATCAAGACAACGAGCTGATCACCCTGGAAATCATCCACAGATACGTGGAGCTGCTGGATAAATACTTTGGCAGCGTGAGTCTCCCAAATGTTAGTGGTGTGGTCTAAAAGTGCTGTGTGGACCGGGTCTTCTCTGATCTCCTCAGGTGTGTGAGCTCGATATCATCTTCAACTTTGAGAAGGCTTACTTCATCCTGGATGAGTTCCTTCTGGGAGGAGAGGCCCAGGAAACGTCCAAAAAGAACGTGCTGAAGGCCATAGAGCAGGCGGACTTGCTGCAGGAGGTACGATCAGCGCTCCAACAGAACCTGTCCGTTAATTCAACAGTGCAGCTGCAACCAGACCAAGTTCAGTCGAAAACATGCTGAGGCAATTTTTAGCTCATTGAACTAGTGCCCTGCATGATTACAGCTCACCACTCACCGTCTCCAGTATGTTTTTGTCAAGTTGTAAAGATCGCCATCGACTGTATGGAACATGTAACTGGTTGTTACAGTCATGGGGAGACGAAGGTTGACTCGAGGATTAAGAAGGTGGAGCTTTTTAGTTAAATGTAACCTGAAGTGAACAAAAACACTCAGTAGTTTCCACAGAGTTGTTACTTATTCAACAAAAAACTGGATCCAGCCCTGCTGCTCCCACAGGATCTCAGGTTCAGGAGCTGCTGATCAACTGATCCTCGTCACTTCGGATCTGGACCATCCAGGTGTGTGCTAACACAATGCCAAGATGGAAAGCCATCAACAATGACCTCAGAGAAGCAGCTGCTGCTGTTCATCAACCTGAGAAAGGTCATTTAGAGTCCATCGTTCTGCAGAGCGAAAGATGATTCACCCTGAAGGTCAGACCGTGCAGTGACTCTACAGGCCTCAGTCAGTAGGTCATGACCTCTTCTCTAAAAACAACATGGCAGCTCGACTGATTCTGAAGGACTCACAAGACTTCTGGACCAGAACCAGACCAAAGTGCAGATGTTTACCCAGAATGCACTGCAGCAAACAGCTCCTCTCAGCTGTCAGCATGGTGGTGGAGGCTGATGGTTTGGGCTCCTCTGTAGACCAACTGGAGTCCAACAGCTGAAGCTCAGACCAAACTGGGTCCAACAGAACCATGATCCCAAACACAGCAGCTGATCTACAACAGAACGAGTCAGAAAGAGCAGAACCGAGGTGCTGCAACGGTCCAGTCAGAGTCCAGAACCTCAACTTGATTGAAACACTGTGGTGGACTTTCAGAGAGCTGAGTAGAACCGTCAATGATGGAAAGAGGAGTGTACCAGAACTCTTCCAGAACCATGGGAGACTGATGAAGTCTTACAGAGAACCACTGAGGGTTTTGCTGTCGGAGGAGGTTCTACAAGCTCCTGGATCAGGAACCAGGTTCTGTTGCTAAAGGCTCTGTGGAACCTGATGTTTTTGTTCACTTCAGGTCAGATCTGGATCGTTGTAGAACCTGATAAAGACCCGATCAGGTTTATTGGGACCTGGTTGTAGATTTGTCGTGTAAAATGTCCGATGGATCGTCACGGTACAAAGAACATTTCTCTCCTTTTCTCTGCAGGAAGCCGAGGCTCCACGGAGCGTCTTGGAGGAAATCGGGTTGACATAGACCTTCTCGCACCGTCCGATACCGGCCCGACCCACGTCTCTGTTGTCTTTCTTTTCACCGTCAGTGTTGTGTATTGTCCTGTAACGTCCCTCAGCGTGGTGCCAACTGTGGTTTTATGTGTCTCCTGTGTACAAACTGTGCTCTGCAGTATTTATCGTCACTCTTAACGCTCGACAGAGACCGATTGATGTAGCATCAACAGATCCAGTTCTTCAGACCAGCCGTTCTCACCGGTACCAGTTAGGAGTTTAGCTCTAAGTGCTGCCGGCGTATCTCAGATACAACCGGCATCTAGGACTGTGGTTCCCAACAGGAGAGGCCCCACGCTGGGCTGGACGACGACAAACGACTGGACTTGGGTAATCTCCAGAAATCGAATAAAAACCTTAAATGCATATCATCCACCGCCTTTCATGTCTTACGATGAGAAAAGACGGAGTTTAGCCGTTTTAGTGCAACTCTAAAAACAGAAATGTGCACAATCGTATTGTGAAAGCTCGTGATTTGTTGTGTTGTTAATGACTCTCAGCCGAATCATGTGGAACATAGTGTGGAATCATGATTCCACACTGAATCATGATTCTACACTGAATCTTGATTCTACACTGAATCA